AATTAACAATGCAAACTTAGCACAGTGCGTAGGCAACTGGCTGAGTCAGTGGTGATCGTCGGTTCGAATCCTACTGAAAGAAGCCTGATTTTTTCAAATTTTGCTTTTCCACAATAAGTTTTCACTAAAAACGGCCTCAAGCTCATAAAAATTGTTGAATTTAAATATAAATAATAAATTTGGAAGTCTAATTTCGTCACAGAAAAAACAGCATATGGGAAGAAATACTTGTGCCATAAAACAATAAATGAATAAAAAAAATATTAAATTTCAAAATTACAATAAAAACATAAAACATTTTTTTTATTAAATTTCAAAATTACAATAAAAACCCTAAATAAAAAATAAATACAAAATAAATAAATATAATAAAAACCGCGTTGAAAAAAGAAATGAATACAATATTTTTTTTTTATTAAATTTCAAAATTAAAATTAAAACCCTAGATAAAGAAATAAATAAATAAATAAAAACTGCGTCAGGGATTGAACCGTGGACCTTAGTACTACCACGCCAGAGCTCTGCTCTGTCGGCCATTGCGACTGATGGAGCGCCGCGAGCAAAAGGGCATACTTATGCCTTTCACGGGGGATGAACTGGCACACGATCTCATCAACTGGTATGATGCTACTAGTATTTCTACTAGTAGGTGCTGATAGCCTGATAATTGGCATCTCGTAGGACATCGCCATGTTAAAAATACCAGTCGCTAACATTGAAAAAGGACGGAATTGTTGGGCTGAAAAGCAAACTGTAGTATTTTAGATCACAACTACATATTTAGTAGCTTTCCCTGCAGGGAAGTTGTGAGACATTTTGGAAACTAAGCGAGAAATATGGTATTTCTCCCAAAGAATGTATGAGAAATGCATAGATATCCCGACGCCAATGGAACATCATCAAGGAAGAAGCTACAAAAAATCGCCTCAGCTCATCGAAAACAGTGGCAAAATTAAAACTTCCCATCGGAAAATTTTATCTGCTGATCACAATATAAAGTGGAAAAACCCGTTAAAAAGACCTCAACATACTTCTTCACATAAAGTTGCCACACTGAAATTTGCAAAAGAGCACATGGGTTGGACTGAATGGTGGCGCAATATTATATTGTCAGATAAAAAAGTTTAACCTAGATGGTCTCGATTGATTTAGTTATTACTAGCATGATCTTCGCCAAAATGACCCACCAAAAATGAGTCGAAATTTTGTAGGCGGATCCATCATGATATGGGGAGCATTTTCTTACTATGGAAAGCTGAAATTATGCTTAACTACGCCGAAAATGGACTCCGAAAAATACATTGAGATGCTGGATGATGTGCTCATCAACTATTTGGAAGAGCACGATGACATAGAATATACTTTCCAACAGGACAATACGTGAATACTTGCGTTTCCAGAAAGTCTAAGGAGTTTTTTCTTCCCGATCGGCGCCATTGCTTGACTGGCTAACTAGAAGCTCGGACTTAAATCCAACTGAAAATGTTTGGGGCATAATGGCAAGGGCTGTTTATGCAAATGGTCGCCAGTATTTAACGGTACAAGAGCTAAAAACATCCATTTTGCAAGCATGGCTGGATCTGGACAAAAATACTCTACGGAAATTAGTTGAGTCGATGCCAAATAGAATGTTCCAGACAATTAATAAAAATGGAGGTTCAACAACGTATTTTTACCTAGATTTTTGTTTCTCATCAAAATTGCATGCGGCTTAGTAAATTTCGCGTAGAATCATGCAATTTTATAAATTTTTTTCTTTAATGAATTTTAAATGTTAATAAGTTAAATTATTTATATTCTAAATAAAAAGATGTTGAAAAAATTTTGTTCTCATTTACTTCTATAATTATATTTTCTTTCAAAATGATGTGAAACAATATGCGGCTAAGCAAATTACGCTCACTGTATAATTTAATGCATAACGTTAATATAAACTGCATGTAAGTATATTTGCCTTACGGAATTCTGTATTGGAAAAATCGGGAATCCTATGAATAAAGAAAAAAAAAGTTAGGCTTTCTCAGTGAGTAATAAATAGTCATTTGTTTAACGTATTTTCTCATATACATCTGGGATAGATAAAAGTAAAATCCGAAATGTTTTTTGGGGTTAGAAAAAAATCCAGACGTGATGGGTCAAAACGGACTTCAGATTCGTGTTCAGCGATCCCAAAAACATATAACAGACTGGGTTTGGTCAAAGGAACCTTTCATCGATTTTTTTTGTGGACCTGTGTTATTAGCTGTCAAATTTGTTGTGCTGTTATTCTCACATCTGAAGGAAAAGTTAAGTCCTTCTCTGTGCCACCGTGATCACTTTTTTTCTGCTATATTTATTAAGCAATTTAAATGTATTTTAACTTAATATTTGTTTAAAAATACCTTTACAAACCTCTTTTCCTTGCTAGCGTCCATTATTGTTTACTTTTTCATTTGATACTTCTCCTCTTCTTAGCAAAAATAATCGATAAAACTAGGTTTGCCACTGAAAAGTTATCGGTTTAATCTGAGATTATTTTATAATTACAGTTTAACGAGAGACGAATTTTGTATGGCTAATCTCTTTTTCTAATTACAGATTAGGGAGTTAAGCTCGAAAATGAGGATAATCTTCTTATATGTAAACCTAGTATAAAATGTAGCGCATTTAATTATTTTTATTTTAATATAAGAAAATTTATAATAGCCAATGTAAATTTATTTTCAGCTCTCTCGAAATATTCTCTTGGCTCCTTGAACTTGGCGATAGTGCAGCAGATATATTGGATGGTGGAAAAGTAGTTTGGTATGTTTCTTATGTGTATAAGTCCGAAAAATCGAAAAATTTGATTCCGAGCAGTACAGTTGGTGATGAATCTAAGAAAAGACTTTCAACAAAACTAGAAATCAACAAAGATGACATTCAAGCAGTATTACCAATGGCAAAGGTATTTAATGTGTCTTTTAATTAGTACCTATTCTTTAATACTTCAGTAGTTGAATATGAATACTGACATTAAAGATTAGCTACCATTATGGTGTCATTGATCTTACGATTTTACAAAAAAAAAACATAAAAAATCTCTCAGGTCACAGCCACTTACAATTAGTTGCAATTCTTCTTATCGTTTCTGTTATCATCTGTTATATTGATGTATATTACTCTAAAGCTTCATAAAGGTTTCTACTTAGGGCTATGGTAATGGCGGCCGCTGTGGTGTAGTGGTTAGCAGTGCGCGCTACCAAGAGCCTAGGTTCGAGCCCACTTTCCGACCAACGCACTTAAGGACAAAGTGACTAATTACGGCGACAAAAATAGAAAAACAAAATTCTTTAAAATACTGTCACACATACATTTATAATACTCTCTATAAACCAGTTCACAAAGTAACATACAAATTTTGACTTTTAACACAACGCAGCAGCTTTAGCAGAAGCCCAAACTTGGGTTTTCTATCATGCGTGGAATTAAATAAGTTTTTATTTGAAGCGGTGGTAAAAGAATTTCGCTTGTCAATTTATTCTTACTAGTGTTCGCCCAGCGGTTGAAATTCAACCGCTAAAATTAAGAATACTTTATGTGAGTTGAGTTGAGCTGAAATAACATTAGTTGGAATGGGTTAAGTGGAGGGGAGTTTAGATTAGTACTTAGCATAACATATCACTATCACTTTCTTCCTCTCTATCTTTGTCTCTATCGCTTTTAATGTTTATGTTTATGTTTTATGTTCATATTCATGTTCATGTTCATGTTCATGTTCATGTTCACGTTCATGTTCGTGTTCACGTTCATGTTCATTTTCATGTTAATGTTCATGTTCATGTTCATGTTCACGTTCATTTTCATGTTCATGTTCATGTTCAGTTTCATGTTCACGTTCATATTCATGTGCATGTTTATGTTCATGTTCATGTTCATGTTCATAATCAAGTTCATGTTCATGTTCATGTTCATGTTCATGTTCATTTTCATGTTCATGTTCAAGTTCATGTTCATGTTTATGTTTATTTTCATGTTCATGTTCATTTTCATGTTCATGTTCATGTTCATGTTCATGTTTATGTTCATGTTCTTGTTTATGTTCATGTTTATGTGCATGTTCATGTTTATGTTAATGTTCATGTTCATGAACATGTTCATGTTTATAATCAAGTTCATGTTCATGTTCAAGTTTATGTTCATTTCCATGTTCATGTTCATGTTCAAGTTCATGTTCATGTTTATGTTCATGTTCATTTTCATGTTCATGTTCATAATCATGTTCATGTTCATAATCGTGTTCACGTTCATGTTCATGTTCATGAACATATTCATATTCATGAACATATTCATATTCATGTTCATTTTCATGGTTATGTTCATGTTCACGTTCACGTTCATGTTCGTGTTCACGTTCATGTTCATGTTCATGTTAATGTTCACGTTCATGTTCATGTTCATGTGTTTTTTTTTTTTTTTAGAGGTGGCACAAAGCATTGAAAGCCGAAAAGTGTGGGACTTGCCTTTCAGCTCACCGCACTAAAAACCCACCCCTGCTCCGTTTCCCTCCCACCGTGGAACTACCGTAAGGTATTACTTCGCGGAGGGGGAGCGGCCTATTGCCAATCTATGAAATTCTGCGGAGTTGTTCCGCTCGACGCAATTTAGATGAAATTGTGCTTGCCAAATTGCAAACAACGGACCAGTTATCTTCTGACTCAAGCATAGTATCCACAAGGTTATGAACCGTAAGTGGCCTCCCCACCTTCCTGCTCGAGTCATCCCTTTCGATTGCAAACCTCGGACAGACGAAAAAGCAGTGTTCAGCTTCTTCAATAATATCCTTTGCACAGAAAAGGTGCAGAAGGGATCGTCTTCGTGCTTCAATCGGTATAAATATGATTTAAAGCACCCATGCCCGGTCAGTATTTAGGTCAAATGGAAGTCCACTTCCCCATGTTCCCTACTTACTCACCTTGATATCGAGGGTATGAGGCGGTACGTCCAACGACCGCTGGCTGCGCGGTCCCACCTCGTTTGCCATTGCTGCAAGCACCTGTGTCACCTCTTCGCGTCTCGTTCGGTTTATAGGCCTGGGGCCTGTCACTTCCACTGAGAATGTCAATGGGGCAGAGTCCTGCCACCACTAGTGCTGCTTCTTCGGACGTAGTTCGGAATGCACTGCATACTTTGATAGCGCAAAATCTGTGCAAAGACCTTGCTTCTCGTACATATGACGTCTTGCTGAACGCTTCATACCAGATTTGTGCTCCATAGAGCAGCACACTGCGCACGACGCTTGCGTATAGCTGCCTACGCTTTTGTTTCGGGCCTCCTACGTTCAGCATAACCCTTGTTAGTGCTCCTGCCACCTTTTCGGCTTTCTCGACAGCATAATCAATGTGCGTCTTGAAGGTAAGCCTCGCATCAAACATTATGCCTAGGTATTTTAGGGCCGCCTTTGACGTAATTTCTTGTTGACCAACCTTTATAGTCGCCACTTCTCTGACTTTTCTACTGCTTACTAGAACTGTCTCGGTTTTTTGGTGCGCAAGTTCCAGTCCTGTTTCGGCCAGCCATGCTTGGATCTGGACGATTGAACTATTTGCTGCGATAATTATTTCTTCTAGATGCTTCGCTACCACCACTAGCGCTATGTCGTCAGCAAATCCGACAATTTTCACTCGTTCTGGCAAGGATAGTCGGAGTACACCATCGTACATGATATTCCAAAGTATTGGACCCAGAACTGAACCCTGTGGTACTCCAGCCGAGACTTTATGTTCTTTGACACCGTTATCCGTATTGTACAGTAGCACTCTATTTGCTAGGTAGTTGTCTACAATCTTGCGAAGGTATGCGGGTACCTCGAATCTGCGTAGAGCAGCATTTATGTGTTTCCAACTTGCTGTGTTGAACGCATTTTTTACATCGAGGGTGACAAGCAAGCAGTACATATTCCTCACCTTCCACCTTTCGCCACTGATTGCATCTTCCGCCAACTGCTTTACTAAACTGGCTGCATCTACTGTTGACCGCCCCTTTCTGAAGCCGAACTGTGTCTCTGAGAGGCCTCCCTTTTCCTCGATTGCTTCTAGCAGTCTATCGCTGATTATGCGTTCGAACAACTTGCCCGTCGTATCCAACATGCATATAGGACGATATGCTGAGGGATCTTCTGGTGGCTTCCCAGTTTTCGGCAATAGAACTAGCCGCTGGCGCTTCCATGCATCAGGAAATACTCCTTCTTTAAAGCATTCGTTAAAACTATCGACGAACACTTTAGGGTTCGCCGCTACAGCAAGCTTGAGGACACGATTTGGAATTGCATCCGGCCCCGGTGATTTTTTATCTTTAAATCGCTTGGCCGCAAGAAGTACTTCTTCCGTGCTCACCATGGGAAACTCGAACATCGTAGCGAAGAAAGATTTCTCTCGCAAAACTTGGTTGCATTGGGAATAACGCCTTTATTATCGTCTCCAGCTTATTTGGGCATAATACCTGTGGTCGAACCGACGCCTTCAGCCTTTTCGTCACAACTTTATATGCTAAGCCCCAGGGGTCATTTTGGACGCTTTCACACAAGCTAGTAAAGCACTTTCGCTTGCTGAGCTTAATGGCTTGTTTAAGCTCCTTGCGTTTAGCTCTGTAAATAGCATGTTCGCATGTTTCTTCTCGCTCTGTTGCATTGCAGTCGCAATTTGCTCATTCCACCAATAAACTGGTGCACGTCGGCTGGTCGGGTATTTTTTCTTCATCGAAGCGTCGCACGCTTGAGTGATTTTGGCCATGAGGTAGTTCGTCATGTTACTAGCTCCGTAGGGTAACGAAATTCCAGGCATCATGGCTACTAGCGCCTCTTCGTCTAGAGAGTTGACCTTCCAACCTGTTGTTGCTCTTGCACTGACTTTTCTTCTCTCTCTCTCCTCCTGTATCGAGAAAATGATAGCCATGTGGTCGCTATGAGTGTACTCGTCGCTAACCTCCCAAGACGTGTGTCGAAACAGCCTGCTGCTGATAAATGTGAGGTCAATAATGGACCCCACCCCATCCTTGCTGAATGTAAATTTGGTACCCGAGCTTGCATAATGCCACATCCAGAGACGATAATGCTGCAAGAAGAGCTCTTCCTCTGGCGTTAGTTCGTCGGCTTCCCCATTGCAAGGCCCAAGCATTGAAGTCGCCGGCTATTAATACGGATGATCTAGTCCGGGCATCAAAGGTAAGCTTATCCATGACGGCTTCGAATTCATCGAGGGTAAAACTAGGCGGTATGTAGCAGCTATATACAACTAATCCAGAGACTCGAACACATACAAAACCTACGTCTGCCTTGAGTTGTTCCATATGAAGGGGCGTTATGGCGCAGCTCCACACCGCTGCTCGACCGGCATCGTCCTGCGATCAATTAGCTCGCCATGGCGGCTGGCAGCAGCAGGGTTGCTGTCTTCGTACCGCTGTACGCGCTTCTTAACCCTCGTCCGTGCGACTAGGTACAATTGTAACTTTTGCGTTTTTAAATTACAATAACTTTTTTTCCAGAAAACTTAGAGGGCTGGATCTTCGTGACATCTCTACATTTTTGTTGCGCCACATGTCCCTTAATTTGAAACAAAATGGGCCACTATTTTCCGAAATAGAGGGCCGAGTTAAATTTACACCCACGTCAGAGCGCATAGGTACAATTGTACCTTCATATATTTGGTATGAAGAAAAAAGCAGATTATTACTTATTTTTAATTATATATAATATTTATATTTATAAAAAAAGGAACACAAATGGAGCTAATTCATATTAGTAGCGATAATCAAACTATATAAAAAATTAACAAGCGAGACAATTCAATTTAGGAACAACGATTTAGAATATACATTTTGAAATTTTTAGAGAGTTTCTTCGCAAGAAATACATGTTGTTTTTGAAACTGAATGTTCATCACAAATTGGATAAGCACAAGATATGCAAAG